TTGACTTTTGATAAGGTGCTAGGGCCATTCAATGGAGAGAGAATAGTCTCCAACCAACCTTGCTAGAACAAGTGAATAGCCACATACAAAAGCATGGAGTCAGAGCTCTACCTTAGCCATACATGAAATAACTCAAAATTGGTCAAACACCTTAAATGTAAGTGCTACAACTATTAAACCTCAGAGGAAAATAGAGAAGTAAATCATCATGACTTTGGTCTTTGGCACTGGATAAAAAAAAGAGTTCAAGACAAAAAGGGAAATTAGACACATTGGAGTTCATCAAAATTAAAAGGTTTTCTGCTTCAAAGGACACGATCAAGATGGTAAGAAGACAATGTTTTCCCAGAGTGGGAAAAATCCTAGTCATGCATCTCACAAAGTATTTGTATTTGCAATCTATAAAGGACTTGCAGCACAGTTAACAAAAAGACAAATAATCCAGTGAAAATACGAGCAAAGAGCCTAAATATAATTTCTACAAAGAATATGTACAAATGGCCAGTAAGCACATGAAAAGATACTCAACAATGATAGTCACCAGGAAAATGCAAATCAAAGCCACAAAGAGACGCTACTTCATACCTAATAGGATGGCCTAGTTAAAACACCTAATAATAGCAAGTATTATTGAGAATATAGAGTAATCAGAACGCTCACACTACTGCTGGTAGGACTGTAAATTAGTAGCGCCACATGGGAAAAAGTCCTGCTCCTCAAAATGTTAAACACAGAATTATCATTTGACCCAGAATCCCACTCTTAGGTATATTCCTAGGAGTAATAAAAACAGGTCAACATAAAAACTGTACACAAATATTCTTAGCAGCATCATTCATTATAGCCAAAGTGGTGGAAACAACCCAAATTTCCATCAAATGCTGAATCAATATATGAAATATAATGAATTCATATGGTAGAATATTATGTTGGTCATAAAAATGAATGAAGTATTGGTACATGCTACAATATGGATAAATCTTGAAAGATTATGCTAAGTGAAAGAAGTTAGTCATCAAAAAATGCATGTATGGTTCTGTGGATATGAAATGTCAGGAATAGGTAATCTGCAGAGACAGAAAGTAGATTAGTAATCACCTAGGGTTGTGTGGGTGGGGTTAGGGAGGGAAAAAAGGGGAGGTGAGGACAGATAACTAAAAGGCATGCGGTTTCTTTTGTGGGCAATGACAGTGTTCTACAATGGATTGTGTTGCTGGTAACATAATTCTGTGAATATGCTAAAAAAACCCATGAATTAGCAAGTAAGAGAGAGCTACTGTAGTCACCTACCAGAGATGATGAGTTTGAATAGATGTGATTGCTTTTCGAGCCATAGGAAACTTGGGTCTTGGTGATTGACTAGTTGGAAGTCATGCCTTTGATAATGTTTTGGGTTTTTTTTTTTTTTTGACATTTACCAAAATAGCAAACTTAAGATAAGCAGCAGACTTAGAGGAATAAAGAGAGGTTCCTTTTGTACACGTGGAGTTTGAGATGCTTGTGAGACCCAAGAGCAGAAATGTCCAGAAGAGAGCTGGACATTCAGGTCTTGAGCGTGAGAGGAGATAAAGGTAGGATTAATCATATAGTCAGGTGGTAACCGAGGCAAGTGACATGGTACAGGAAGATGAAGTCAGAGGACAGCATGTGATGTGTGTCACAGAAAATATGAAAGGGACAAGAATTTGTCTTATTGCCAACACTTGCAAGATCTGTTAAACATTTAGTAGTACTTTCTTTTTTGTTTCTGGGGCTTTCCTCATTTTTAAACATTGAAGAATTTAATTTTGCATCCTGACCCTATTCACTTAGTGTTGTAACATAGCTATTTCTCCATGTTGTTACAAATCCTTTGTTCCAGAATCTTCTCAGTGGTTTTCCTCATAGGATTCTGTTTCCTGAGTTTTGAGTGTGGGTTGAGACAAGGTCTTGCTATTGTAAGCCCAGGCTGACCTCATCCTCACAATCCTCCTGCCTCAGCCTCCGGAAGGCTGGGATTGCAGGCACACACTACCAGTTGTTTCCTGACTCTCATCCGGGATGGTGCATGGTGGCTTCTCACTCTTCTGTCTCCTTTTCATTCCTGATCACTGTCCCCCTACTCGTCTCTGTGTAGATCGTGAAGGCCCCTTCCTTCATGAAGGCCATGTGGTTCCTGACTAAATGTTGATTATTAACTTCGAAAGGGAACTCCAAAGTTCTCTTTCATTGTCCTATCCTGACTCAGACTGGAAAGGTCACCTTGAAGATACTTCCTGAAAGCATCCTAGACACCTTATCAGTAAGTCCCCCTTTTGTCATCCATTCTTTTTAAGCGTCCTTTTGCAGACTCAACTCCCCATTTAATTCTCAAAGGAGGCAAGTAGAGTCAGGGAGGCCATTGGCACTTGATAGAAATCATCACAATCCAAACACCAGAAATGCCAGACAAGCTTAAATTAGAACTTGGCAGGTTGAACAAAAATGCAAGCACTGTACCAAAATAGTCTCCAGACCTTAGGGTACAAGTGTGAAGAGAAAGAGAACAGTTCCAAAAACTATACCAGGGACCTCTGGACACTGTGACCTCACTAGCAATGTGTGACTGTCAGTCCTGATGTCTTTAATGTCCATACTCTTTAATCCATTAAATAAGGAAACAAACTCTCTCATAAGAGAAATAAGCACATTTGCTGATCATCATATAACTTCACACTTGGGTCTCACAAACAAGACCTCAGTGATGAGAAAATGGATGCGATTTTAGCAGATATCTAATACATAGTAGAGTCTCATAAAAATTCTTTCTTTAGTATTAGAATTCAGCTAATATTTCTTACTGTGTTGCTGTGTCTGGAACCATGCTAGGTATTTCTCATGTCCTCTTGTATTCTCTCACTCCTCCATCTGCCTTCTCAATAGCCAAGAAGAACTTACTGTGACTTCTTTTTAACAGTTTAAAATATTTTGTCTCTGGGAGTGTCATGATTAGCTCAAGATCAGTAGAAAGTTGTCCATCTGAGGCTGTTTCATGTCCCTTGAACCTAACTTTAATGGACTTTCCCAACTACCACATGCATTCATTCTGCAATTCTTTTCACCATTTATTTGTTATCAGTCAGAATGCTCATGATTCTCATCCATCATTTAATTTCTTTTTCTTTGATCCTTTTAGCAAAATCCTCAACACAGCAGTGGATGTTCTTATTCTTTTCCTGACTTGGTTTTCTGGACTGCCTTCAACATGTTCCAATCCTCCTTTCCCACCCCTTCTCATCCTAGTCCTCTACTGCAAAGTGTTATGTGATAAAGTGTATTTACAGATTAAAGAGGAAAAGAAGGAAAAAAGGAAAGACCAAAAAAATTAAAGATTAAACTCATCAATGACTTAGGATCACAAAGTTTACTTACCATCATAGGAAGAAGTCATAGTTAATGGTTGTTAGGATGTAAATAAACCGTAGGCTTATGGTGGGGGCCTATCCTGGGTGCCACCTGAGCCAGGTGTGTGTGTGTATGTCTGAATTGCCTCTTACCTTCATTGCCACTATTTTTCAAATGAAGAAACCAGGGTAACCAGGGTTTATTACTCAGAGCATATTCTCCTGATCACAGAACCAGCAGATAATGGTCAGAAAGTCAAATGCAGAGTAGACCACTTGCCTAGCATGCTCAAGGCCCTAGGTTCAATTTTCAGCACCACACACAAAAAAGTCAAACCCAGAGCTATCTGGCAGTATACATAATGTTCTTTACTCTATTACAGAAATCTCCAAATGTCTGTCCCCAAACAAAGGGCTAAAGCTGGTAAAAATAGAAAAATAAGAATAATATAATATCCTAAGTGCAGAGGGACATTCTGTGTCAACATAAAGATAGATTACTGGCAAGAACTCTCTTTTATTCTGAGTGGATGTCTTTTCTTCTTTTTTGCTGATCAGGTTTCTTTTCTTTTTAAAATGATAATGGAGATAGGTAGTAATGGACTTCTGTTGTTTTTCATGGTAATATTCTTTACTCAGTAAAATCAAAAATAGGTAACCTTGTGTTAGTGATAGGGGCCCCTGACTCCATGATGTCTACATAAAAGGTCTAAATGAAATATCAACGTGTCAGAGTCAATATGCTGACATGTTAAAAGAATTAGCTTCCCTCCTTACCCCCAACACTCTGAAAAGCAGCTGAACCCCAGTTGTTTCCATCTGAGTATTTGTTCCCAAACTTTAACTATTGCTCAGCATCATGAGAGATTTGTCCCCTGGCCTATGCAATCAGAGTCACACAGAGGCACATTTCAGGAGATGGTGGGTGTGACCTGCTGCCACAGGAAACTACCCAGTAATCCAGGAAAAATTGTCTGACCTTTTGGTGGGAAAACGGTGGGGTGTGCACCTGGGAATGTCCCCATTGGGAGCGCTATGCTAATGAAGAAGGGACTTTCTCATACCTTAAACAAAGGTTTACTAAAGAGGTAAGAGTCATCTCTGCCCAATGCTGAATTCATATAGTTATGCTGACTCATACAAGTCACAATCTTTCCTACAAGGTGTAATTTAGATTATACAGAGATACATTAGCCAATCTTCAGAGTTATCACTGAGTTGTGGTTGATGATCCAAAACAATGAACCCTAATCTACTCTTTGGTCAGTTGTATAATCTTTCCAGGAAATAAAAGCAATGGAATTCAAGTAAATTGATTTACAAGACAGGGTTCTGTCGTTACAGGTCTTGTTGGTTCCGATTTACTGGTTGTTCACACAATCAATATGATTACTATTACTCATTTAATATGCATATTTTCTAACCTTTTCTCCATTGCTCCAGAACACTAAGTCTGGATTAAAGCCTCTGTAAAAGGCTTCCAATTTTTCTGTGAGCCAAGGAAATCACATACAGAGAGAGACAGAGATAGCTAAAATAAACCATAAGTCATTCCTTAAATACACCTGACCAGCATGCTGTTATCAATAATCAACAAAAACTTTATTCCTATAACTTATGAAATAATATTTATTCCAGCTATGATGAACGCAAAAGGAAAATGGAAAAAGATTACCCAAAAAACACTGAAGAAGAGTTTTCAGGAGTAAGTGGCCAAATCGATGCAGCTGTGGAATTGAATGGTGAGTATTTCCCCTGAAAGCTCTCTTTGTGGAACTCGTAACAAGAATCTCAGCCCTGCTTTTACACAACAGAAAGTGGATTTCCAAATAGATGTCATCGGTTCTTACTTTTGGCTCTGGATCCTTTCATAAGTTTAGCTAGTCAAATTATCTACGAGTGAGAGGAATTATAAAAGGTCTGCCTTTGTGAATCTCTCCTATCTAATGGAAAAAAATTAAAGTGTAGCTTCAGTCATGCATGGTGAGGCATGCCTGCAACTGCACTCGGAAGACTGAGGATCACAAGTTTGAGGCTAGCCTGCCTACACAGTGAGACCCTGCCTCAAAAAAAAAATCAACAAAAGAATGGCTTCGATCCATTAGTTAGGTAGTTCATAATGTCTACCCACTTTTACATCGCACACAGTCTCAATCTTCCCAGAAGTAGCTTTTGCAGTTCCATCACCTAACTCCTGAAATTTAGGACATAGTTAGGAAAGTTGAATGAACTATTATAAGTTAAATAAATCTAATTGAAACATTTAAGACAGTTAACATGTTTTTCTTGAGTATGTAGCCCAAGGCTAGACACAGTTCAGAAATGCAAAGACAGTTTCAGATCTGGCCTGGGCTCTCACAGGATGGGGAGCATAATTTAGTATTGAAATGTGTGGTCGATTTTTACAGTGATTGCAAGAGGGGCTCTGAGGAAGAAAAGGTCAGGCTTTCCAGTAATAGTTGGAAATTTTATGGTGAGAAGTTAGCTGGTTTTGAAGACTGACTTGAACTTTGACTAAGGAAAGAAAGGAGGAGAGGGGTTTTTTTTAGGAGAACAGCCTGAGCAGAAGCACAAAGCATAATTCAGAATGATTTGTTGAACAACCCCAAAGTGAAGACCGTACCCTGGCTGGACCAAAGTGAAAGATGAGGAATGACTGAGAAGTGAGAGGGATCAGGGTTAAGGGCATAGTGGAGCCATGCAGAAGACTGTCTAAGTGCTATCTGACAAATTTCCAGTTCCCCATTGGTGCCTCTTCAAGAAATTTACAATTACAAATCCTCCTATTTATATATCTACAAGTCATTTCCAGTAACCACAATTTCAACTTTGTCTCTTTTAGGCTATATCTACTTCTTTTCAGGGCCCAAAGCGTTCAAGTACGATATGGAGCAGGAAGATGTGGTTAGTGTGGTGAAGTCTAGTTCCTGGATTGGTTGCTGAGTGGAAAGGTATAGTTTTTCCAAAGGAGTGAAGATGATGCAAGCCGCTGATGACTGGATCTTAAGGACTAAAGCAGAATGTAGGACAGGCTGCTTCCCATGGCCTTCAATTCTAAGGGAAATTCAGAGTTCACGGAAAATATTAATGCTTCTATATTTTTCATAGTTGCATATTCAGAATTTTAACCCAAATGAGAAATTAAGCCAACTTTACACAAAATCAGAATCAACATAATACACTCTTTAGTCAGTCAGTCATTGTTTTTTTCCTTACCTAACATACAAATTGATCAATTGGCTTATGCATTCCCTGACATACAGTGTAATTCTTTTATTAAGAAATGTAATTACTATACACATTATTATTCTTTATAAACAATGGCTTTTGTGACCATCACTTGTTATGGTGGATATAAATGCACCCATTTCTACTTTAAACATATCACAAACAAAATATAAGGTTTGTTCCTTGGTTTTATTTGTTTAACTCTGTGTCCATTCACTCACTGGTTTCTGAAGTGGGTTGGTAGATAAACATTCAAATAACTTTTCATACTAAACAACAGATGGGCACTTTGCAAGAAGACAACTTTTGACAGAAGCCAATAAAAATGTTATGTTAGAATAGTTCCTCATTTTTCTGTTAATGTTTACTAACTTTAGAACACTTTATTTGGCAACAAATTCTGTGTACCTATAGAAATTGTAAGCCATAAGATAATATCAGAGTACACAGACCCAGAAAGAGCCACAGTAATTCACTCTGTTTCCTGGTTCTTGATAATGCCCTCAAAGCATCTTTGACCCCTTTCAGTTTCTTCTGAATAGTTTTCCATTTAGGGGAGTTCATCTTTTTGTGTTAGTTTTTCTTACTTCAAGCTACATCTTTTTATTCCTTTCTATCTAGTTATCAATACAGATAGGATTATAGCTGTCTGACCTTATGATTTTTTTTTAAATCTTTTCCTCTAGAATGTAAGAATTTGAAAATATTTTAAGGGCTCTAAAATTGAATAATAGAATATATGCAATGTACTTCATAGACTGACTACCTGGAACATCAACAGGTTTTAATAGAGGTAGGCTATTATTACAATCTCTTATCAAATTTGTGTTGAATATTACACTAAAAAGACTGACAATTAAGAAAGGAATGAGGCAGTTATTCAAGGTTACTCTAAGCTTTCCATTTGGTTTTTGTTTCCAAAAGTGGCTATTTATTCCCAGCCAGATGTTGAATATTTGTTGAAGACATTGGGTATCCTCACTTTCCAGTGTCAAGGTATCTCTCTCTTGAAAAGCAAAGTCACTTTTTGCAAAAATAGTCAGCCGATAACTTCTTATTATCAATAAGGTAGGAGGAAAACAGTCTGGCAGTTCCTCAAAAGGTTAAACACAAACATAGACAGAGCATTTCCACTCATAAGTACATACCTATGAAAACATAAAACAAGCCCCCACAAAGGCTTGCACACAGATGTTCATAGCAGCATTACTCATACTGGCCCAAAAGTGGAAACATTTCTACCATGTGGTACACGATAAATAAAATGCAGTAGATTCAAATAATGGAATCACATTCAAAAATAAAAAGAAACAAAGTGCTAATACATAGATGAATCCTGGAAACATGCTAAGTAAAAGAAGCCAGACACAAAAGGTCACATGCTGTATTATTCTATTTATAGGGAGCGTTCACAATAGGAAAATCCACAGAGACAGAATGCAGACTGGTGCTTGTCAAGATTGTGGGGAGGGAACTTTGGGGAGTGTCTGCTAGTGGATATGGGATTTCCTTTTTGGTCAATGAACATGCTCTAAAAGTGGTGATGGTGATGACTGTACAACTCTGTGAATATATTAAAAGCCATTAAATTGTACACTTCAAATGGGTGGATTGTATGTTAGATATAGCTCTCAATAAAGTTGTTTCACTAAATACAAATATAGATAGATAGATAGATAGATATATGCAAGGAGAACAACATGGCGTGATAATCCGTGAAGTTCCTATATCTTGGCATCTGTGGCAGAGACCACACAGCAATGAAGCATCAGCCTATGACATCAGCATTGAGCAACCAGCCAGATGTCCTCCTGGTATCCAGCACTAGCCCAGGCATGTACACACTGAGGACCTTCCGCTGCATGGATGGATGTTACCAAAAGCAGTAATATATGTGTTCTGGGATGGACTGGTTGGATTCAAACCCCAGAACTTCCATTTTTAGCTGTGTGATATTGTTCAAGGTCTCTAATCACTCTGTGTCTTAGTGTCCTCTTTGTAGAACTGGAATAAAAATAGTTCCTACATCCTAGGGATATTTAGAGGCTTAAATATATCACTCAAAATGTGCAAAACTGTTAGGGTCGTTCCTGGCACTCTATGGGATTCTGTAATTATTGTTCTTAAAACAATTAGACTTAATTTTGCTTTGAGATATTGTGGAGAATTTTTATATATCCCTGAGTTCTAAAGACCTGTTGACCTGCATTACCACATGAATTGGTAACCAATGACTTGAAATTTCTCTTACCCAAATTTCAAATGAAGTTAATAATCAAAAAGTATACTGGCTATGGTTAGCTCCCACGCCCAAATAATTCCTACAAATCATCACTCCTTTATTGAATCAGAGAACTCTTGGCTCCCACATATAAGTAATACACATTTTGGGAAGATTTAGTCTCTCTAAAGCACAAGAAAGAGAGATTGTGTTTATATCATAACTCAATCAGAGCACTTACACTGTTTTACAAGAACTTTTGAAGAAGTAATTTACAACATATTCACTCACACTTCCATATCTACAGATTCCTCATTCACATATTTAATCAAACAGGGATAGAAAATATTTGCAAAAAAATTATGTCTATACTGAACATGTATGCATTTTCTTCTTGTTATTATTACCTAAATGACTCAGTACGAATGTTTACATGGAATTTACACTGTATTAGGTAGTATACACAATCTAGATATGATTTAATTATACAGGAGGATGTGCATAAGTTATATTTTATATAAAGAACTTGTGTGTCCCCAAGACATTGATATCCACAGAGATCCTGAATCCCCTTCAAATACCAAGGAACTTCAAATACCAACTGTACTCTTCACTGGCTTCAGAGTAACTAAGTAGAAAGATGTTTAAATAACAGTTTTGAACAAACTATGACCTAAGTACCTCTTTAAGGATGAAAAAGAAGCAGAACTGAGTTTACTTTTTTACCCGCTGTGCATTGCTGACCTCAGTAATTACTATGAGCAGAGACTTTTGAAAGCATCAGAAAGGTTACTAAAGAACAAATGGATTTGCACTGGCAGGAGCTGCCCTGACAGCTCCCATTAAAATTTCTGTGGTTGGAACCAAGCTCTCTTGCATTTATCCTGGTCCAAAGTGGCACCCTAACTTTGTCAACTGGGTCTTTTGTTTCTTTCCAAACATGTATTTGGAAATACAAAGCAGATGGCAAACAAACTATGCAACTTTTTATTCAGAATTCTGCATATAATGTTTTAAAATTATTACAGAGTCTTCAGGGAACTTTCATTTAGAGATCATCTAGATATTCACTCCTTTTTCCTGTTTTAGTCATTTCCTTCTGCAAACAATAATATTGAAGATTTTTTTCTTAATATTCATAGCTAAAACTACCCAGAGAAAATACACAGCGACAGTCACATAGTCAGAGTTTTAGACTCCCATAATAGGAAATAGAAGAGTCCAAACCAAAAGATTTTCTGCAACGGGCCTGAGAAAAAGGAAGAAGCATCTTCCAGGGGGCCTCTCCCATCTGACAAGCCTGTCTTTGGTCTTATCACCAGGCCCAGGTAGCTTGTCAACATGACCAGACCAAAGGGCGCCCCATTTCACTCACAGTGCCACAACTGCAGCTTTGCACCAGGCCCTAGACTCTCAGAAGTGAAACAGGAGTGGGATTGGGAAGCTCACTGATATATAAATTATAGTTAGAAATTAGTGAATGACTTTGGGGTCCAAAAGAGGACCCTTTTTATATGTACATACCCTCATTTTAATCTCTTCCCCATTAATCCTAATCCAACATCCTATCATTCAATGAAGTGAAGCTTTCGTTGCAAAATGCAGTTCTGACAAGAGTTAGAGGAGAGATAAGAAGAGAAAAAAACAGGAAGGAGTCAATGAACACACTGCAAAAGAACAGTGGAAAAATGTTGTAATTATACCCACCTCAGATCATCTGTGGCGGGAAACAGCATGGTGTAATCACTAGCAATTTGTTTATTCTTGGGAAGTCTTAGCCCTGTAATGCAATGATAATTGCTGGCAACTTTGGAGGCCGGTTAATCAATGTGGCTAGTTATAAATGCCTGAATGGAGCAAAGAATGCCAAAAGTCTCAGAAGAGCACATTGCACTTGAACCACACTGCCCAATGATGGTAATGTGTCACTTTGCTAAATTTTTAGACATAATTCCATAGACAATTTTGGTATGCAGTGATAGTTAAGTAATATATGTGAATTGAGGGAATAAATACCTAGACGAGAAATTGTTGGATCATAATCTATGTACATGTTTATCTTAAAGTAAACACTAAATCATTTTTGAAATGATGGTAATTGTACTCCCACCAGCAGTGTGTGAGCATTTTCATTGAGTAGTATTAAATGATCCCTTTACTGAGCATTTCTTATGTGCCAGGCACTGTTTCAATGCTTTAAGGTATTGTTTCATTCCATCTTTACAGCAATTCACTGAGGTGGGTGCTACTGTTTTCAGGGAACTTATCCCAGGAAAAGACTAAAAAGAGGCAGAGCTGGGATTGGAACCCATGTCCAGAACTCTTAGCCATTAAGCCATCCCTGAGGCAGAGCTCAATGCAATTAGAGCCTCAGAGCAAAGACATGTGACAAATGCCCCTGGTAACCCAGGAAAGGAAGAATCTCATAACAGACCTGTATATCGGTCAACTGTCAGCTCTGTGAGGCTGAGAACAGGCAGGAGGCCACCACATG